TCGATTTTTGTAACTGAAAGATGGGATTGAGATAGGTCGTAGAACAGAACGTGTAATGTTGGATTGTGAAGAATAAAGTCAAGTTAAGCGAAAGTATACAGTCCAAGTCTGCAGAACCAGCGTGTGCGGAGTTTCCTTCTAAAGTAAGTGAGAAATTCTGCGAAAACTTCTAACATGGACTACAGGTCCTCATTCTCAGAAGAAAATGGTCTACTTAAATGTGATATAATCCCGACGAGTCAGTTAAAATAATAATTATTAAAAAAAACATTTTCTCACATCATTCTCTTGTGCATCTTGTCCACTCTCCACGCTCCTAGACCTGTGGGATGAAGTTACAAATAATTACCTATTGTCAATATGTTGTTAAGACAAGGTTAAATGTATATTGATACTGTGAAAATGTTATGACTTCCAAGCTCAGCAAAGGGTAAAAAATCTTAACAAATTTCTCTCGGAAAATCAGTAAGAGTTTTGAGCATTTACAAAACTTTTAAGCAGAAAATTGCTCTCCGCCTATTATCAGATCTGCCGAGCGATCACCAAGACACTTATTTTTCAAATTTACTAAATCATTACACTGGATGGGCACCCGTTCTTTTCTATCGCTATACAATGGCCTTAGGTCTTCACTGAAAGATTCTACTTATTTAAGAATTTGTGGGAACACCATATAAAAACTTAGGGAGAATTTGACCTTTATCAAGCTGGAAAAAGAAAGATACGTGCCTAGTAAGTGCAATGTCAACGAACATGCTCTATGCAAAAGGGACGTGCTTCCTTTTTTTGAGGTAGATGCGCATACGGCCGGGATAGAATTACCATCTGCTCTTGCATCCCCCGCACCATTCCTTACTTTCTATTTAAACGGTTTTGCGGCCACTTCAATATGACTTGAGTTTTATTGATGCTTTTTGAACAGTAAACAAATACATTCCTTACTTGTACTGATGTTCGGTGCTTGCTTGAACCTGTGGTCGTAGTTTCTTCCGCCAAATCTTGAATCTTTCTCAAACAAGCATACATTTCTTTCTTTCTTTAGCCGCAAGAGTGTCTCCGCCATGTACAATCCTGATATACCTCCTCCAACCACGACTACATCGCATGCCATTTGCTTCAACCGGGGCACTTAGAAAAAAAAGCAAATATTTTTCCTTCATTAGCTTTTTTTTCGTTTTATAACCAGATGGAAACGACAGAAATCACGCTTGGCTAAGTGCAAATTGTGTGCGATAAAAGCCGAGTTTGCTGGGTTAAAAATAAGACGTATGCGAAAGTTAAGAAAAACCAACGCAAGGCTTTAGTTGTAGTATTGCAAGTAGCCTGAGTGGCTTTCGCAGAAGGAAAGTAACGAATTTTATTGTAAAGCTTTGGAAAACGAGGGAAAAAATGATCTTTGATTATAAGATTATAACCTGCAGAGCACGCCTAATTTTTGTTCCAATAGATCTGTTTGTTCTGCGGCGTTTTTCAAGCACGAGCATGAAAGTGCGAGGCGAGAGATAAGAGGACACGAGGAGCGAGATATGCGATAGAGGTCACGAACATGAGAAGACATGACTGACTACATCTGCGCGGCACTTTGGGGTTTTTCAAACGCATTTTCGGCTATTTGAATTTCCCTTACCGAAGCCAGTACTTACGTAAATTGTCGATTGCCTTTCAGTTTATCAGAATTCAATATTAGAAATAGAATTGTAACACGACTCGTGTTAAACAGATAATCATTTTTTCCTGCGTAAAGAGGGAATTTCTCAGCACCGTACCATGAGTAAGCAATAGTAATGTCATCTTTAGAAAAACAAATCACTGCAACTAATAAAACTAAGGGAAAGGTCTCTCTAGCCTTGGAACCTTTAAATCAGGTTTATCGGCACCGCATGACAATCTATGCAGAAATCATGTTGGTTGAACCTTGCCCGAAAACATCTCTGGAATTCAAGTTCGAAGTTGACTTTAGTTCAGATATGTAATTCATTTCATCATATTCAAATTAGGTCTCTCAGCACAAGTAGAGCAGGAAACTTTATGTTGGTATGCACGAATAAACAGTTAGATTCCGAGGGGAGCCTGATTACTCGAGAAGAATAATTTGGCAGGCTGCATTTATTTCGTTTACCTTGAGTTCCACCTGAATCACCAGCCGCTTGAGCGGTGTTCTCTTTTCCCCGCTCGTGAACAAGCAGTGCAGCTAACACGACCACAGCGATCAGCAGCGAAACAAACAGTAAGATAGCTACACACGCTTTAGCTCGGCTCATGAAGAAACCGTTTACTTCTAATCTGCGTATTGCGGTGTATTCCTTACCACTAGCCATGTCTAACTTAGTAAAGTTGTGTTGACAAAGAGATAAAGTGCATAATGCTAAATGAATAGCCAGCAATGGTGGGTAAGCTCGAGTTACAGTGACCTCCTGTCTGGCCCCATTCTTTCTGACTCGCGGTTTACACGCAAACAAAATTAGGGGGAGGAGCTAATGCCCTTTTATAGCGCGCCTTCGTGTTTAAACGGTAAAGGGGATGGTAAATTCGTAAGAAATTTTTAGTGCGGCGAATATTAATGCAGGAGCTGCTGGAAAACTGCGAAGGTGACACCTCTATATAAGAATGGCGCTGAATGTAACCATCGTCCCATTTCAGTACAACCGGTTTTCTCGAAAGTTATTGAGCGCACATGCATATTACTTTATACTTTTCTCTGCGATAATAACTTGACTTTTTCAAGGCAGTCCGGTTTTCCCAAAAACCACATTACTGAAACTGCCCCCATCAAGATAATCGATGACCTCCAATCTAATTTGGATAAGGACAGGATCTCTTGAGTGGTGCTTATTGACTATTGCAAGGCATTTGATATGGTTGATCATGAGCTATTACTGAAGAAACTGAAGGCATATGGCATTGTGAAAACGGAGCTTAAATGGTGCCGGTCTTACATGACTGGAAGGAAGCGAGCAGTTCACCTGGGTGGAAAGGAGTCTAGTGAGGCGCCGATGTAACATGGAGTTCCTCGGAGCAGTATTTTAGGCCCACTATTCTTCATACTATCTATCAACGATCTACCACTGCATGTCAGTTCACAGCATCTGCTCACTTTAATAATTTACCTGAACTTAAACTCCTAAGATACCTTTGCAATTGAAATACGTCTATATGCCAACTCAACTAAACGCCCAATCAACGAGTCGAAATCCAAAGTCTTAACTATCACCGGAAAGCGCCTGGCGTTTAAGGTCAATAGGCTCGTAAATGTAAAAAGTACAGCGCTTTTGGGTTTAAAAATCGATTGTTCACTCTCATTTGGTTGTCATGTTGAAAATCTTTGCAATAAACTTGTCTCACGTAGAGGTGTTTTGAGTAAAATCAGAGCCTTTCTGTCGCTTAAACAGCGATTGTTGTTCTATAATGCCATTATTCGCCCAGTAATGAGTTCTGCTGACGTCATTTGGTCATCATTTGTACTCTACGAAGTGTAGTTGGATAATAAATTTATCTTATTAGACGTTTTGTTGTGTAGTATCGCTGAGTACTTTTACGAGTTGTGCCGTATTTTGACGAGCCCGTAGGGCGAGTCAAAATACAAATGAGTAGTAAAAATACTCAGCGATACTACACAACAAACTGTCTAATAAGTTATTTATTATCCAACAGGCAAACTTTTATTTCAGTGCGGGCGAATTTCGCGGATATTTATTTACGGGGAGTGCGTGACAGAAGTATGTGAGGCGGAACGGA